TACTCTCTCTCTCTCTCTCTCTCTCTCTCTCTCTTCCATGTTGACACGAGATACAGCACCAGATGTTTGCGGACTTGGCTATCACCTACCTTGTTTCATTTATCTTCAAATAAGTTTAAAAAATGTTTGTCAGCCGGCATTATCCAATGCATTAGGAATATTACTTGGAGTTAACTGGTATTCAACCCTAGAAGAGGGGATACTGATTTATTAACAAAATGATGTTTATTATTTGTTGATATGTAACTTCTTTTGTACTAAATATTTTTATATCATAAATACTAAATTCGTTGATTTTGGATAAGCATTGTCATAACAAGTGGGAATATTGGTCTTCATGTTCATATTTAAGCAAGATTGGTCTACATATCTCTTAAGAATTTGGTTGAGAAGTTATTTTCCTTCTTTGTCCAGTGCACATATATATGTATTGCACTGGATACCGTCCCAGACTTAAAAGAAATGGTATACTAAATCATTCTTTTGCCTATGTTTTTAACAGCTATTGGTGGTGCAACTGGGCAGATGCTCGAGCAGAATGCTCACATGTTCAATCAAATATCAACAAATCTTGCATCTTTCCAGGTGAAGGCATTCTTATAACAAATTATCTTGCTCTCTAAATTTCCCATTCTTATAACAAATTATCTTGCTCTCTAAATCATCTGAGAAATAGTGACCACTTGCATTCTGGTGCAGTTTTTTCCTAAGATATTACTAGTATTGGTTTCTGATAATGTTTATGCTGGCAAGTTCAACTTGTAGTTATTTTTCCAATTTATTTTACTCCAAAAATATTTTCCAATTGAGAATTTTGATTTATTTGGCTCTTGGAAACACTGACACTCATGTAATATTGCTTGTCAACTTTGTTACTAGGATTATAAATGTAATGTTGCAGATGATCAATTTTTTGTTGCAGTTTTGAATAATCTAGGCCATGCATATCGATAATAGTGGTTTCTTCTTACAAAATATTTGTTCCCTTGCTTTAATTTATTATTCAGAGATATACAAATGATCTCTCCATTTGTTCTATTGCTAAGGAGATGGAATGTAATGGAAGCTCTGAAGGGACAAAGTTCTAATATTACTCTGTGGTGTTCTAGAAGTGTGGTGGGTTGTAACACACACCCACTTGGTCGTTAAATAAATGGCAAGAGGGATAGTTCCAAAAGAAAATAAATCAAGCTTTACTCTCTTTATCCAAAAGGAACCAATCAGCTAATAAAGCATCTTGTCTAAAGTCATGTTTTGTGTATCATCATGCCAATGTGTTTTAGTCATGAGTTCATCTGAGCCCATGGCATGGACCTTCCCACTAATTTGGATGTGCTTATTACCACTGATAATTTAGTGTTTCAATAAGATTAATCACAATAATGAATTGTCTGTTGTTTGGTAGCGTCAATGAGAAAGTTATCTAAGATAAACTTAATGTTAAAAAATGCGGAGGCGGCTGCCTAGGCGGTTTGGTCTCTGAGCCGCCTAGGCGGGTGCTCAGAGGCAAAGGTGGCCTGCCTTTTGGGGAAGTGCAGATCCTTCCGGATTTTTGCCCCCCCCGACCCCCCCCTCTCCCCCCGAAACACACACACACAACTTTTCCCCCATTTCTATAGAATTGACTTTTTCTTATTTAATAAGTAAGTTTTGCATATAATATATTGTTCAGAACGTAGAAGTCAGAAATACATATCAAACATAAACATTTATGACTTTAGACTGTAAATTAAATAGTTAAAACTCAAAAGCAACATTAAAAAAAATAAAAAAAAAGTAAAATAGTAATGTTCAATTGATTTAGGGGCAATGGACTTTTTTATTGAATTGTTTTCTTAATGACTCAAACTGCATATCAAAATAGGAAAATAGTAATCCAAATACACAATAACATATCAAACATATCAAACATATATCATAAAGTATCACAAAAGAAAAAAAACAAGTAGCAAAGAATAACATCATAAGACATTGTGAAAAAAAAAGTACATAACCTAATAAAAACTATTGAAGTACACCAACCTTCTTGAAGTGGAATCTATATCTGGCCCAACCCAATGTTTTGGTTCCCAAATCTCCTCTTTTACAACCACTATAAGCCTCAAAAAGATTGGGATGAATATCCTTTAATATCGTGACCATTTGAGGAGGTCGAAAAAAAATTTGATCTCTCTATAAATCTTCAAAATCTTGTTTTTTTTAAGTTTTTTCTCACTCTAAACTTCACTAACAATGTTTTTGGGAGCAAGAATGGATCCCGAAGCCCTTTTCCCCCCTTTTAAGCGGGTAAAATTACAATTTTATACATTTTCCGAGTTTTTTTTTCTACCGAGGGTTGAGGCGGTACTTTTTGAAAACAGGCCGCCTAGGCCGCAAGGCTGCCTAGGTGGCCGAATTTTCGTTCATTCATAAACTTATAGGCAGTTTCACATATAAGTATCTCTTTTTGAAAAGTTATTTTTACTTCGAGTGTATTAAGATAATTTATTCTAGATTAAATTAATTGTCCTCTGAAGTCCGAACAGATCCCTTGGATGTACAGATATAGAATAACCATTTCTCATGAAACATTGTCTTGTGATATGGAAATCGAAGTTTTTTAAGAGCCTTGTTCTTGAAAGGCAGATTATGTTTCTATTGTCTTGGGGGACATAAGTGATTTTGATTCTTTCTTAGAGCAACTTAGTTTTTTTCATTGACCTTAACGATACAGAAAAGCTTCTGGTGATCTATATCATCATCATCCAAGCCTTGTCCCAATTATTTGGGATTGGCTCTGGTGATCTATATCTAAAACTTAAAAGACCTATGTTATTTCCGCATATAAATGGTGACTACGTCTATTTGGTGTTTCTATGCGATAGCTATATACTTGCAAATAATTCAATAAATTCATTTTCTATTTAATATTGTTCAGCCTTGCATAGTATGACTTAAAGCGGTTACATTATGTATAATATAAATGATTTCATTCTAGTTTATCTTATGTCTCAAAACTCCCTTACTAATATTAATAGCATTTGTCTGTACTGAACAACCCCTTAAAACACAAAGGTTAACGTTAGAACAGATTGTGGTGGGTTTATTTACCAAAATTTATTGTTTTTTCTTTTCTAAGTAAGTTTCCTTTTTAGGCAGCTAATCATTAAATAGGGATACATTGAAACTTTCGTAATAATATAATGGTATTTTCAAAGAAAATGTCAACTTTATTAGTGCAAATGCCTTTGTCCCTTAGGGAAACTTTCAACTATGTCGTTGTTAACATGATAAGAGTAACCCTGTCTTTCAGCAAATTTCATATGCTTCTTTACTTATTGACTAAACTACTCATATAAAACAATTTTTTACTAAAAACAATGGTACATAGTATACAATCTATACATCAATTTGTATATTTATCACTTTAAACACACCTATCATAACTTGTTCTAATTACAACCTTTGTATTTTGAAGAGTTGTTAAAATTAGATGCATCACGTTTTTTTGGGTAACTAAAATATTGTGCCATACCATCTCTAATTCGATGAATGATACTTGGATTTGTCATATTCATCTTTACTCAAGGCTACATGATTGCTGGTAGCCATTTGGAGGGATGATATCTCGATGGTGCTAAGGCATTGTTACTTATCCAATGTTTGACATTTAGGGATCACTATGCCAAAGACATCAATTAGTAGCATTCAAATGCTATTGCAAATATACATTTATTCATCCTAGGGTGTATAGTGGAGTCTTCTTCAAATAGCCCCTATTATATATTGTGCCTTGCCCCAATGACACATGCTTCTCTTAACTCAACAAAATGTCCAAATTTGGAAATTGTGATTTTGATTGAGCATTTTCAGCACGCCTTCTATTCCTCTTTTGACTGTATGCCCTGAATTGATTCAAGGTAGTCATATGTGACATACTTAAGAGTTATTGCATTATTGATTGGGTGCGGTTTGTATAGAGCCTAGGCTCTAAACAATCAGATTAGAGCCTACCTTCAAAGAGGGGTGAGAAATGTGGTTTCAATACGGGAAATCTTTGTGATAGCCTTAAAATATATTTTTATATTTATTTATAAAGTTTAAAGCTTCAAAAATAGTGTAGACCAATAGATCTATGAAAACTTGAAAATTTTGAAAATTGACGGTCCAAAATGCGTTACAAAATACACTATTTCCAAAACTTGGAATCTATTTTTTTCTCATGTACATGCATCTTGATGTCAAGATGATCAATTTGAAGATATTTCGACATCAAAACAACCGCTTCTAGTGAAATTCTTGAGGTAGGCTCAAATTTGATTGTTAAGAGCCTCGGCTCTATATAAACTATCCCCTTATTGATTATTGTTATTATTCTTTGCATCCATCAAACACTGGGTTATCATGGTGCTCTTTGCTTTGTAGCATAGGGAATGGCTTCATTGAGGTTCATTGTGTTGAGATACTGATGCATTTGAAACCTTTTATATAGCCCTGTTTGTTTCATAGACTGTTATTGTCTAAAGAAAAATCACTTTTCTCCGTCATTTTGGAATTTACACCCTATATTGATTCCCTCCCTCTTCTGTCTATCTCATGCCACATATTCTTTCTTCCTTGTCTATTGGTTTTTGATCCTCTCCTTTGGGTACTAAGAAAATTGTGCTATGATGTCTAGCATGGGAAATTTCTAGCATGCTATTGTTCTTGAGTAAAATAAAATGTTGGGATTCTCTTAAGTGTCTTGTTTTCATTGCAGTTTAAAGAAAACATCAAGCTTTTCTGCCAAACTCGGGACAACATCACGGCAATCTTAAATGAGTAAGTCTCTCACGCACTCACCTAACAATTAAGATGGCAATAAACAATGAAGAAAGAGAAAGAGGCAAAAATTTTTACTTCTTAAAATCTGTGCGCGCGGGAGTGCGTGCGGCTGTGCATGCCCAAGATCCCAAAAGGATTGAAATTTTGGGTTTTGGCCTCTTTGCCTTGTAGTGGTTTAGGGAAAAACAGCTGCCTAATTGTCGCATTGTGTTTGAACTCCAGCTTTCTTGCCCAAAAAAGAAAAAGGAAAGTTTATTAAATTTGGCAATTGCAATTTGTGCCGATATACTTGTTAGTTCCTTCAAAAAACATGGGCGGAAATCCTTCTGTTCAATTTTGTATTCCATAATGTTGAGCGACATTATAAAAGAACATTCGCTCAAATAGCAGCAACTTTGGTGCACATAGCAGTCACTTGATTTGAATGTTATATTTATATGTTCTGATTGAGAATAGGAAAATGCAGAGAGAGAGAGAGAGAGAGAGAGAGAGAGAGTGGTGTTATTAACATGGGGGATATGTATTTGCAGCATAAGCGATATGCCCGGCTTGATGAAACAGATGCCTCCACTTCCTGTGTCCATTAACGAAGATCTTGCCAACTCCATCCTTCCTCGACCTCAATCAATGAAATAATAAAATCATGAAATCAAGGGGAGAAAAATAAATAAATGGGTGCAAAAATTGACTAGTATATCTTTTTTCTAGATCAGAAGAATAATAATTCTCTGTAAATTCCACTTGATTTTTTCATTTTTGAGTCAAGTTGGTTACGTGTTAGTTGGTCTTTGCAACAGCAGATGGGTAGTGGTAGGTAAGATGGAGAATGATTTTTATGTTTTCATTTTTTCCTTTTTGATTTCTGGTATTACTCATTGGGATAGAGAGTTAAGGCCTCAAGGGGCAGCAGCAGTTTAGAAGGAGATTTGATGTAAAGACCATGGTATAGACATCCTTTTGTTGTTCTTATTTTTGGGCAATTTTGGATGAATTTTATAGGTGTAATTTTGTTTTTCTTTTTTCATAGCACCAAGTGGTGCCGCTCATTGTGATTGTGCTCTCTCTCTCTCTCCTTCTGATTGTGCTCTCTCTCTTGCATTTATGATTGATTGTAAAATTCTCTCTCTCTCTTTCTTGTGCATTTATGATTGATCGTAAAATTTTCTTATGGGGAAGCTTTCTAAGCTTCTCCTGCATCATAAAACTTGTATTATCCAACCCTCCATTTTTTATGGAGAGCTAAAAACCAAATTTCATATTCATACAATTTGTATAAAAAAAATAAAAATAAAATATTTTAAGACATCAGATCTAAGATCAAATGATAAGTGACTCTTTTGATCAAAATTGGATGGTTGGATGGTAGAGGAAGCATGGATCTTCTACCCTGTAGGGTGGGGGAAGAATATAAACCTTTCTCTTTTTTTATTGGTCACAGGTGGGTACTTTTCAAGGACTCTCTGCTCCTGATTGTCCTCACTCTCTCTCCCTTATTTGTGATTCCCAGAATCTCTTACTCTTCTCTGTTTTCTATTTTTAATATATGTTTAAATGTGGAAATGGAGGATTTGTGAACACTGAGAAGTGTTCATCAATGGCGAGGAAATTTACTTGCGAGTTGCAAGGTGCGCCACTAAAAGGCATATGAATGAAAAAGAGAGAGAGAGGTGACCTTTTTAGAGTTAGAGAGAGAGAGAGGGGGTGGCCCTAAAAAGTTGGACGGACAAATAATATTTTGGGTTGGTTAGAGAGAGAAGGGGGGTGTTGAAAAGTAAACGCATAGAAAGTAAACACAGGGTCAGGATATTTAACTAAAAGCCATAGAGAGAGAATGTTAGGGAGAGAGAGAGAGTGAAAGAAGGCGGAAGGGGGAAAGTATTTGGGTTGGGTTGGGTTGGGTTGGGTTGGGCGATACGTCGGTGGAGAAGTTGCACACTAACGTCTTTCTTCATTTCACACTCCATGCATCGCGTCAAAAGACTTCACTTCACCCATGACTGTAATGCCCGCCTTCTTCATATTATAAGACTGACGAACCCCATGTGAAATTTGATATATCTCAGAGTTAAAATAGAAAAATATAAACTGCAAATATGTGAAATTTGATATATATCAGAGTTAAAATAGAAAAAAATAAACTGTAAATACGTTTTCACTCGACTGATGTTTTAAAATCTGGTGATTCCCTATTCCAATCACCAATTTGGATATAAGATCAACCGGAACCGAACCGGTTATGGGAAGGCATCCCTCCCTAAAGTCCCTCATATCTTCTTTCCCCCACCCTTCCCCTATTTTTAATTAAAGCTTATATAATTGTATCCTTAGGCTCTTTTTAATTCCTCTTCTTAGGCACTTTTTAATTCTTCACCCCCCTAAACTGTTATTTTATTTTTGTTCTAAACATTTTTCTTAATGGCCGATATCATACGGATTGTCGATTATATAGGGTACACAAATCTCCCGGACTGATAATGAAATTTAAGTCTATGGGACTTTGACTCAACCAGGCCCAAGGGTCCCTTCGACTTAGACCGGCCCTTATAGGTATGCAGTTTGGGCCGGGCCACTCTTGATCCATTGCCAGCCCTACTCAGGTAAAAGATCGGTTTGTAAGTAATGAGGGAGGGCATGTTAGTATGTTATATTTGGCCCAAAAATAAATAAACAAATAATCAGAGTAGGTAGAGATTTGGTAATTGATGCAATAGTTGGGGACATTTTTTACATGCACGAAGTGCCTTCTGACCTGTCGTCACCTGAAAGTCGCTGAAGGCCGCTTTTCTTTGAAAGAAAGAAAGAAATCTCACTTTTGAGCAGGAGAAGGAAGACATCTCAGTATTGCAACGGTTTCTCTCTCTCTCTCTCTACTAACTGTAATATATATATATATATATATATTTCCCTCTCTTCTCTCTCTCTCTCTCATTACACCATTGGGTCAGGAAACGAGTCCCCAGCTTCTTTGATAGAAAGCCATTGAAGCTCTCTCTCTCTAGAGAATTGTTACTATTAGATTGCCACTCTCTTATGGTAAAGCAACAAAATGGGAGAGTTGTGATGCAGTTTTAGTTACCTATTCATCAATAACTGAGGTTTCATGGAATCATCTGCAATTTAAAGGTATGTTCTTGTTACAGTAGCTTTAAGCTTGAAAGGGAGGGGTTATTTCATATCATAAAAAGCATGTGATTGACAAAATCGCCCATGATATTTGTAGGGGTGGTTGTCCTCCGCAATTGATATGCCAGGACAGTTTGGGTGTTTATAAAAAAAAAAAAAAACAAAGGGCTACTTAAAACGGCGAAAATATAAACATAAAATGTGTCCATGGCGTGTATTGAAAAACCAGGGCCTAAACCACAAAATTTGTTCCAAGAACAGGCCAAGGCAAGTTGGCCCAGTGTTGGAAACTACTACTTGGGGCGAGTACTCGGTCTATGCTCAATCAAGGTACTCCGCTCAAGTCCTGAGTATTGTATCTGCAAAAAGATGTTAATTTTTTTTTAAAAGTACCAAAAAAAATCCAAGAAAAAAAAGGAAATGGGTGTCTATAAAAAGATTAATGAAAACACGTCAAAATGAAGTTAAAAATAGAACCGATTTGTGATTGGGGGTATTTTTGAAATACTCTAAAAAAATATGAAAATAATTATTCACCATCAAAACACTTTCTGAGAAGTGTTGAGGCAACATATGAGCAGGCCTAGCTGTTGCAGGTATTTTGGTGATTTTAAAATCACAGTCCCAAGGATTTACATTTTTTCATTCATTCGAGGGCACTCAGGCTCTCACAAAAGGCTAAAAGGAATTGTTTACATACCTAAACTTAAAAGCATAAGAAAGTTATAACCATGCGTGTCTATGTTAAATAGCATGGCACATAAAAAGTATAGCACAAGACCATTTTGCTTTTGATATAAGGAGGTCGCAATTACTATATGCCATTAGACATCAAATTGAGCAGCTAGCCATTAACTTAGCCCAAAAGAAAAACTTTCAAAATTCGTAACATATAAGCAAGCGCATTGAATTTCACATCTTTGATTTGCAACCTCTTTGTACTAGAAGTAAATGATCTTTTCATTCACTCAATAAAGATTTGTTTAAGTTAATAAATAAAAATAAGTAAATAATCTCATACTAATACGATCTTCAAACATAGATTTAAACTTGTTCTGATTTACTTTATTTCTTGTAAATGACACTTATTCTCCATATTGGCGTCCCTTCACTGCCGTTTCAATTTAAATTTCTTTACCAAAATTCTATGTCTTGACTAAAATTCCAAGTCTTTGCTTTTCTAAGCTTCTTTGACGGGCAACTTCACTCCACATGAGCCTTCACGGTGTCCCCACGCAAGATTGAGCGACTGAACCAGATATCCACGCCATTCATTCAAATCAGTGCAATACTACCAAAATATTCAAAGGCATGACCATTTGAAAATAATGCCGAAAGATGCAGTTTTTTAGAAAAATGTATCTTAGATTCGGAACTTACGTTGGAAGATGCTTGAAGTAAAAGCGGTCCCTAATTGGATTTAGAGAGAGATGGGGTGTCACAGGAAAGGATTCGGCACAATCGGTATTTTGGTAATTTGGTGGGCGGCATGTTTACAAGTAAATTCTGTGCATGGAACGATAGCAAGCCGAAAGAACCAAGCTCAATTGGGTTTGGATGCCAAGTCACCTTCTCCTACCCCAGGTGTGTATGTGTGTGTATGTGTGTGAAAGAAAGAATGAATTAGGCCATATCTAATTTCGGAAAGCTCAGCCGCATTTTCCTGAAACGGTTGCACTTCATTTGTATAATTTTGGGAATTTGGAGGCTGTCACTTCCTACGACCTCCAAAATAATGTGAAAAATGGGAAGCAATGACTTCCATGCCCTAGTGGAATATGCCACTTTCAAACTTCTAGAAGATGCGGCTTCTAAGGGTAGATCATCCCTAAATGAAATGTACCCTAAATCAGGGAGAATTTTTGCATGGGGAATTGTGTTAGGGCTTCCCTACTTAAGGAGTGCCTCAACATAGTGTCTTATATTCTAGAAGATGCGGCTTCTAAGGGCAGATCATCCCTAAATGAAAATCAGGGAGTATTTTTGCATGGGGAATGATGTTAGCGCATCCCTAGTTAAAGAGTGTCTCATCGTAGTGTCTTAT